GAAGTAAGTTGAATAGGCTGGTTACATACGACGCCGTAGCAATAGCAGCACCGCCTCCACTGCAATTGTAGTCTTTCATGTACGCACCGCGGCGGCAGCTTTCTTGATACCCCAACGGCGATGCACTTTACATCAAAAAAAGTTGCACACGATAACTAAGATGTCATACAAAGATTTGACGCAACCGACAGTTTTAGAATCACTAGAATCGTTTGAAATACATTTATCTTAATATAATATTTAATGTACTGAAGCGATGTCCCTTATTCACACTAATTCGGGACAAAGAAATATTGTCGTAAGGGAAGTTTAGACAAATATAGTCTACCTGCCCATCCCAAGTAACGTTAATTTTTAATGTACTTAAGCGATATCCCGAATCCTGAAAAAATCCGGGACAAAGAAATATTGTCGTAAGGAAGTTTCCGCTTTCTGGCTCTGTTCCTAGAAGGCTAGGTTAGTCTACCTATTCCGTCTAGAGTAGTCTACCTATTCCGATCATTGGTAATCAGCCTAAGTACAACAGGCGGGTAACTTCGATACGGCAGTCGCAGTGAAGATGCCAATTTGCCACCTCTCAAAAAGCAGGATTTTGGACAAAGGCCAGCGAGATCTGGGATACATCTTTTTCCTGTAGAAACTGAAACAGCAAATCAATAACAAGCGTAATTATATAATGTGTTTTACTGTGAAGGTCAAATCAGCCTAAAGTAGCAGACTACACCATATCACACCTGGCCCAATGTGACGGCGAACGGGGCGTGTGTCCAGACCAAAGACTTGGAGGGAGCAACGACGCAGTATTGGGTTCGTGTTTTTAATTAGCTTAACTTGTGTTTATTGCACAATCGTTTTCCAAATGCACACTTATCAAATCTTTTACTAACCAAAATTATAACAAATATTTTATGCATTCTGACTTTTACCAATAAAAAGAAAGCAGAGCGGCTATATGCAATTAATGTCATGCAATTAGTGCAAATTACTCTGAACCCAGCTCTCCGGTCGACTGGTAGAGACTACCTAATAGTACTAAGTCCGCCATTTATACTGTTTTCTATGCAATGAAATTAAACAAAAAATTGTTGTTTTTTATATATCCAACATAGTTACTACAGGTCCAAACAGTACGCCATAAAAGAAATATTTTTCTATATGCTCTAGGGTCAATAAAGAATATATAGCTCTAAATTTGAATGCGGTATTTTCATTACAGTGTGCACTGGGTGTTTTTATTTCTGGGTCTGTCATATTATATGTAAATTTATAAGTATACGACGTAGCCTTAAAACGTTAAGACATTTAATACAGAATACAAATTCGTTAACAATGAGAAATAAAAAATAGCTTACAAAAGTTTTTAAAACAGTTTCATGAAAATAAGAAAGTAAGTGAAAAGAAAGAAAAATGTAGTTACACAGATGATTGAACTGCCTCCGTCTGGTAACGGTCTGTCACGCAGAGGTCCCGATTTCGATTCCCGGGCTAGGAGAAATATTTGTACAGCTTACATTTATTTATCTCGTGAGTTTGCGTGTATTTTGTGGTTGTCTATGTGTGTGTCCATGGCACCCGCGACACAGGGTTATCCCAGTGCGGGGCTATGAGTGTGTTCGTTATTGTTATTATTAGTTAGTTGGTGTTTTTTTTTATAATACTAAGTGACGGGACGAACAAATCGTGTGCCTGTCCATACCTAACAGTTGCAGTGCCACTCAGAGCTTTAAATCACAAAGATCTGAGGGGCACTACCATGCGTCCGACACCCTGAGATATAGGTTGGCAAGTCCCATGTGCCTGTAATTTCACCAGCACCCTTCAAAACCGGGACGCAGTAATGCTCACACTGCTGCTTGGCGGCACAATTAGGTAAGGTGGCAGTACTTCCCTGGACGAACTCTTTTACAAGAAGCTTTACTGCTAAAAACAGTGTGTTTAAAAGAGACTGAGATTTTCTTCGTCTGTTTAACAGTGTCCGGTCAACAAAAGAATGGAGTGACAACAATAACATATCGCCGGCCCCTTCAGGCCAAGGAACCCTCGAAGGATAAAGAGATATTCATATCTCGGTCTCAGTCAGTCATAGCAGCGTTTGGGCCACTGAACTCCAGGTTCGAAGCTAACGCGCACTCCTTCATGGACACTACAAGAGCCGATGTGCAACTCGACTTTGGAGCTATGGTAAGTACCTAATTGTGAAGCATGAGAATCGAACTTTAAACGATATTTATACGAATCGTACATAGATAAATTTATTCCAGTCTACTTTATCTCAGCGTTCAAAATGCAAAAGTTGTTCTTTATTGGAAATTAAATATTTTTATCTACACACATATCACAAACTCTATAATGTTTCATAAATCGCAAATTACGACCAGCTTCAAGGTAAATTGTTTTCTTAGAACAAATTTCTTATGTGTGAAAATGTTATTATTATAATATACTTAACATACTTCCTTTCTTCCATACGTAATATACTTTCTACTAACATCGAATTCGATTTTATTATTACATTCAAATTTCGAACATCTCTGAAAAACAAAACAATTTGATTGGACGTCAATTCTAATATCAGTCGAGATAAAGTTTTAATCGAAATGAAATGTCAATAGCAAACAATTTTGACAATTTCACACGTTACTTGATATCGAGTGATATGATAGTTGGGGCCGATTCTGTTTGTCTATGAATTAAAAATAAAAACTACGGTTGTGTGACATGCGTGAGAAACGTTTTTATTTGCCGCCATTTCACCAGTCGTAACTTGCGGTTCCTGAATACAACACAGAGAGCTTGTAATATGTGTGTATACAGCAGTGTACGTAACTGTACATAATTAGGCATTAAAACACTTGTGAGATGTTTTTAAACCCACACTCGTCTTTTAATACCTTTCTTATGTAACAGTCACGTAAACTACTATTTTGGGTCTAAATCGCGTATGTTATTTTTCAAACAAACCAGGTTTTTCAAAACAGATCACGGCTACTGAGATGGTAAAAACATCAACCTGTTTTGTCTAATATTAATTGTAAATCACCCTGTTTTTCACTATAGTTACAAAAGTTTTGTTAATTTTCCAATAAACATTTCATTTTACGCTAGATACGTTTTTCAAATTATTTTATTTTATTTTAACAATTTTCATTAGAGGAAATACTGGAGCCTACACTGGTGATACGGAGATACCATCTTCCCTGTTGAAATTAGGATGTTTTTTATTTCAATGACTTCTCGCAGCATCCTGGATCGATAACGGTCTTTTGCAAAGACCTGGAGGTTGTCGAACTTAATTTAATGTAATAATAATAAACCTTTATTAGGTCAACACAAATACATGGATGGTGGTAACGTGTAGGTTTTCTTTGTTATCGTCAAAACTGTCAAAGCGTCAGAATGAAATTCTATCATAATGCTAATAATAAATCCAGGTTATCGATTTTCTCTCGAACGGTGCCTTCAAATAGACGTTCATCCCATCAAATAGACGTTTATCCCAAGTAAATACGAGTAAAAGACACTGGTCTTACTGGTATATCTTAATGTCGCCCGTATTATGAATATCCAGAATGACAATAACTGCCTGGGACTGGCGGAGCTGGACACGAACGGGCCGGCTCCGTGGCCATCGAGGGTCATTGCCGGTGTCACTAACTTCACAGCCCGCATTGGACCGGCCGGCGGGGCGAGAGGCTATACTCCTATTACAGGTAAAACTTAAATTGATTCAAGGTAGATTTTTATTCTAGTAGGCGGGTAATGCCTTGTTGCAGAAAAAGTTTTCGTCTCAGGGGATCATTTCTCCCCATGCTTGTCTGCACATAGAAGCAAATTACACTTTAAATTGTCATATTGATTAAACTCTGCTGCTCATTAGTAAGGCAGATTCCCCTGAGAAGAATGAGCAAGAAACTCTAATAGCGCATTAACGCTGGTGAGATCCTGTCGTTTTTGTCTTGTGTGATACTGACTGATAAACACTTTCTCCCTATACTCTCTTAAGACAGTGCTTTTGTCTTCTCTTTCTCAAACATTCTCGGCGTTTTTAAAACTTTCTTGTATTGTTTTCCATGCAGACAATGACATAAACAATGGATTTTCCCCATACGGTAACTATGTTTCCTATATAGTATGCTAATTTAGTTCGTAAAAGTGAAATTGCATGTTATTTTATAATTGCTGCTACCTGTGAATGAATTTGAATGTGATGTTGGCCTTGACTTTTATCGCTTGAGAATCAGTTTCATGAAATTATACATGTGATTTTGAAGATTAATGAAACAAGAATGTTTATGCACAAATCAAAACGTGCTATAATATCAATAACCTACCTAATATGTAGTTGCTATTAGAACATCAGAACACGAAATATTTGCATGTTTTGCATTGACTTGGGGAATTTTGCAATATTTTTGTTATTGAATATCATGTCTAGTCGAAAAAAGTATATATTAATATCATGGTAGTAAGAAATCGGGATACCTACTAATTAAAAACGGAATACTTGTACTTAAGTTGTAATATTGATTTTTATTCAATATGATGATGATATTCATGTTTAACCGACTTCAAAAAAGGAAGAGGTTCTCAATTCGACTGTATGTTCTTTTTTTTTGTATGTATGTTACGCGATAACTCCGGTATTTGTGAACCGATTTTCATGATTCTTTTTTTGTTGGAAAGGGGGTACTTCCATAGTGGTCCCATTTCATTTTGAAGGAAATCATCCACCTCGAAGGGTGGCTGTTCACGCATGAAGATTCATTTTTATAAATAGCGCCTTACTTTAATTTAGGAGCAATTACTTTTATCAATTATTTAGTTGATTTTGCTATTTCTCCAATTCAAGGCGTATTTCCCTCGATATACTTTGAGTAGTGTCGTAGTTGAGTAGTCCTGTATAGTGGCGAAGTAGGGGATATTTCAATGAAACTTAGCAAATAGACGTAATTTCACGTACTTTTGAGGTCGGTTTTTTTAGTACTCTGTACTGAGATTATTATTTATTTTTTTATGAAAATACTCGACTAGTTTTGTTATTATTATTGATCCAAAAATCGAACAAATACAAAGAAAAATTCCTTCGCTCCGAGTGGACTCGATCCAGCGTTTGTCACCTCCACAACGTTGACCTCAACAATTTTTTTGTTCGAATTCAGTACCAATCACTTATTACCAATTCGATTAATCACATCTTTACACAGTCAAAATTTAAATAAATATTGATTTATAATTACGCAGTTGCGCTCTAGAACTGTTTTGAATAGATTTGAAGTCTTTTTATAATACCCAGTGATGACAGTGCGAACAAGTCACGCTAATAGGTAGGTGAGCGACATGCATGTCCATTTGTTGCTAATGAGACACTGAAAACGAACGTCAATAATTAGAGATAATTAAGAACCATCTTTATTTCTTTTACTTCAAATTGAAAATTTAACGGAAATCTGTATAATGAAATTCCAAACCATTCCAAACCAAACGGTTCCGGACCATCCGTGGTTTAATATATTTTGTTGTCTTTAGGTCATCCATCCTGGGGGATAGCGTGGTACATCAACGATCTTCTGATCCCCGAAATATACGTCGAGAGAGGCAAGACCTACACTTTCGTCGTCGAAGGCGGTGACGACAGAACAAACCCTGCCAAGTTCCATCCGTTCTACATCAGCGACTCGCCTGAAGGAGGTTTTGGCCAGAAGAAAGAAGAGGATCAACGGAAGCAAAGAGTATTCGCTGGTGTTGCTTATGATAATGAGCAGTACCCGTATCCTACAGCTGGTAAGGATTATCTACCAATACATTAAAATAACTTTCCATGATGTTTTTATCCTGTATTCATAGCAAAATGCTCTGTACACACTTAGCTGCAAGGTCGGTATGTATGTCATTCAAAGTTTAAAATTGGGTATTTCTCTAGTAAGTGTTATATTTAGTGAATAAAGACCCTCTTAACCACATAATTAAATTGAAAAGATAATAAATGTTGTTATTAAATGAACACACTATTTATTTAATAGTATCTAAGTAATTGGAAAAATGATTGATTGATTGATTGACAAATTCGTGAGGTCTGTTGTTTCGTTCCGTGGCTTAGTTGGTATAGCGTCTGGCACGGTATGCAAGAAGACGTCGGTTCGAATCCGACCGGATCGAAGGAATTTTTTCTGAGTGTTCGGTATTTGTATTAATAATTATAACAAACTAGTGGAGTAATTTCACAAAAAATAATTGAATATCAATTCAATAAAAATTTAAAATGTTGATATATTGTAAAAAACTTTTTGTGAACTATGTAGCTCTATCGAGTTCTTAGGTTTTCGCGATTGTTACACATAGGAAATGAAACTATTTTTCCGGATTTAAATCGCGTATATTTGTTTTTTCAAACAAACCGTCAACCGTGACCATGGGACCTGTAAAGGGCCCAAAACGTCGGTTTGTTTGAAAAAACAAATATCTTAATAATATTTAAATCCGGAAAAATAGTTTCATTTCCTATATGTAGCTCTAGACAAAACAGTCCTTACTCGAAAATATGAAATTATTTTTTCTCTTGTATTGTTATATATTTATATTTGGCAAGTAGGAAATTGTTTAGGTGTTCTTATAAAACTTTAACCTATGCAAAAATTCCAAAAACCTTTCGCTAGAAGTAAGTAATTTGTTTTTCATCGATTTTAAATAAATACGCTTTTTGTGTTATTACGCTATAATTGTATGAACAGTGCGGATATGCAAATGTCTTCCGAAAAACGAAATTGACGTATTCACATAATCCGCAGTGGGCCGCTACTGTGAATGGACGCACAAGACAACCGACCAGTCAGCCGTGTCCGCGACCTTCGAGGATTACATGAAGACGCTTCAGCTGGAGTGCAACAGCGGGGAGCCCGCGGTGCTCAACTGGACCGTGGCGCACGAGACGCCCGACTTGGTCTACTATCAGGCGAGTACTTCTGCCTAGACGAGCTTTTTCTTGCACTCCTCTTTAACAGACTATTTTAGCACTACTCTTCGATACTACTGGCAAACTGCTAGAGATACGGTAAAGGTACTTACAGACTTGCTCGATTGTCTACGGTCGACGTGTGATCAAACAAAACGTACGAATGTGTAATTATTGGACGATCGACGAAGTATTTTTTGTCAGTCGACACTGTAGTTTCAATGAGACACAGGTTTTTTTTTAAATAAATTTGTTCGATTTTAACCCTGACATTTATCCATCGCCAATCGGTGACAGTAACGAAAGATAAAGTCGAGCAAATCTTTTAGGTGACTGATTTTATTGATTGTCAAAACAAATCGAGCGCCATTAAAGTTCGTCAAAAATCGAGCAAATCTGTAGGCACTCGGTACCTCAATGACTCTAGATATATTATGTCTGTGCTGCTACCACTATCCTGACACGTATCTACTTCTCAAAGCAGTCTAACGGGAACTCAATATCACTACGAATTTCAACGTGTACCTACTACTATAGGCATAGGTATAGGTATATGTATATAATTATATGTATATATAAAAGTTATATGAAATGAAATCTGGTTGAACTTCCCAGCCGAAGACCGATTTTAATATTATGCGTCCTCTAACTAAAATGCGGCCAAGTAACAAATGGTTAAATAACCGTTTTAAATAGCAAAAGATAGAACACAAAATTCTCTTTTAAAAACAGTTAAAATTAGTTAACGTGTTCGACTTATTGGAACTTACCCTAACGATGTATTGTTGAAAAATTCTAAAACTGGTTTATGGTTATTTATATCTCAAAAAAAAAGGATTCGCTCTGGACCTTTCGGAGGGAAAAGTGTCGTTTTTATTTTGACTTTTAATTATTTTGTGAAATCTAGTTTAAAGTGGAATAGGATAGTGCTATTGTGCCTTAATCGAAGATTAAAACGCGAAATTATACGAATCTCGAAATAAAATACCCGTATCGGCCCGTTTTAAGGAATCCCGAGTCAATCCAAGCACGCCGCCTCAAATTGCCTATCCTCTTTGTGGCAGCCATATTTACAGAAACATATTTAAACTTCATGTTTAGGCTGATGGCTTTGCCAAAGCCTTCATAAATCAAAAAAAAAATCAAAAAAAAATTTTGTCACTGAGCCGCGTTTTATTTATTTTTAAGCCGCGTTTAATTTAAAGGCAATAGGTATTAATTTATAATTTTTTTATTTTCCCAGTGTTACACTCACAATAACTTGGGTTGGAAGATCCACGTGGTCGACCCTGGGACTCCTATTCCATACCCAGTCGACCAGCGCGCTAATTCCTCTCATGTGCAAAATTTGGCGCCGTTTTTACTACTTGTCGTTTTGACAGTTCTCGGTACCGTGACTGCAAGATAAGGATGCATTCAAATTAAAACAAGAGCTCCGCTTTCAAGGGTTTATATGGCTCGAGTTTCTGTAATAAGGATCTTGGTATAATTCAGACGAAGATTATTACATTATCTCTTCATTTTCGTTCACACCCTGTTTTGTTAAGAAAGATCAGAAGAAACGAAATAATAAAATCAACAAGAAAGAATATCACAATTTTTCACTACAGACAAAATATCTAAAAATATTTTTTGTTTGTTAAATGACTAGTCGTGTTAAGGACAAGACAGGTTAGTGTATTGTTGTGATGTGATCTGAAAGTGTGGCAAACATGAACTCGAGCTAAGATTGTGATAATAAATTGTTGGAGCAATTAATTACAAAGTGGAGCTCTGTTTATGTACAGGTATTTTAATTGGGTAAATAATGTCAATCTACATTATATCAATTTCATATCAGGCATTGTATTGTGCGTTCGAGCACTATCTTTACAATCTAGACTTTGGAATACTTGCGTACCAGTAGTTTACTTTATTAAACTATTGAAACAGCGCTCGTGAGTCCTGGCTGAACTGTTTCACAACTTCGCACAATAAATGTAATCGGTAGAAAAAATAAACTTTTAATAATTTTGATCAACTTCGCCTAGCTCACGAATGTGCGAGTTACATAGATTATTATGAACTATTTATACCTTATAAATATCGTACTTATTATACTTATACTTATATATGGAATTGATTCGAGAAATTTTTTGCTTGGAGTTTAAAATTTCTATCAATATTTACTTAGAGCAATTCAAGATAATAATTGAAAACATTGACAATAAAAATGTTATATGATAATAGTAATTTCTTAGACTATTAAATCGCAAGTTGGGTACGTCCTAGGCCGTGTGCTTGACAATAATATTGTTATAGAAATATAATATTTTTCCTATTATCATGTTAATTGACTATATGTATAATATAATGCGTTTTTAAATTTATTTGTTTTCATATACAATTGGAAATGAACTTTTATGTTTTATTCAAATAAGAAATAGCAATTACTAGCAGTTTTAGGTTTGTGGGTAGAGAGAACTTTAGGTAATAGGCCAATTATATGAAACTTATTTTATTTTATCATATAAACATACATTTATTTTCCATTCAATTATAGGGATTTAATAAAATAAAAGACATCTGAAATGACTTGGTGGAATAGTACTAAGACAATAAATTTACAAAATAATTAGGTATTATTATTAGTAATTTAATGAAATAAACTGAAGTTAAACATATTCAATAAGTTGGTTCTTTGATATTAAATATTGTGGTTTTGGCCGCAGTTAGCTTTACTCTAATAGTAAAACAAAAATGATAAACAAATAAATAACATTTTTCCGGATACCTCCGAGCTATTTTACTTTGGCCACGAAGTAAAAAATAAGTCTTTTTTATTTAAAAACCAAATCATAAAATACCCTGCGTGTTTACCCACTAATAAAATACATTTTATAATGCGTTATGACTTTACAAAGGCCCAGTTAGCTAGTGTTACAGTTCTACCTGGTTATACAAGTTATGTATTTTGATTAAACGTTTGTAATAATACTCCTTCCTTGCGCTATTATAAAATATATACTATAATATGTACTTAGCTTTAGAAAAAAAAGTGAATTGACAATCAAATTAAATGTTAACTTTTGACGATAAAATTGAAATTACTGCGTACTGTTACGCGTATATGCGTTTGATTATATTTATATTATTAGCTTGTAATAAAATAAATCTTACGGACAATAATTTTCAGAAAATTTTACTTAAATCGTATTTAGGAGCGAATAGTGAGTAATTGAAAAATCATTTTACACTTTGTAGTTGTAGATGTTGATGCACAAATTTCTGTTATAATGTAAGAATTTTATTAGAAGTTAAATGTTGTAAAGTTATAGATACATTACACTGTGCAATTATAAATGCCTGTTCTAGTTTTGAATTCTGAGTGATGCAACAAAGCTTGGACGATAAAATGTTAGCCATAAAATAATTAAATTGAAATGTTTATATAGAAATTATTTTAAGTATACGTAATTGTTTTCGAAATGTTTTTGAATGATGATTTTACTATCTTGGGCACAGCGGAAGCATTCTGACATACAATTTTATACATATCCATACACATCATTTTAAAATGTCAGTAAATGTAAGTGTTTTTATAAAATAGACGAAACAAATACATGCGTAAAATAATAATGTTCGTTATGTTATAATTCATCAACAACTCTGAATACGATTGATTAATATTTACAAATCCAATAGTTCTATAAAACAGCAATATATTTGTTAAAGAATCCAATGTTATCTGCAACGATCTGATAGATAAATGCACTCTAGTATCAAATTTAATTGAGTCGAAGGATTTTGATTATAAGGTAAAGTGCATTGTCTAACTATGCCTGATGTAAGTAGATTTTGAGGATTTTAATAAATAAGACAATAACAATCTGAAAAGCGGTGACAATAACTTATACATTAATAATTAAGTGGTCGTTTAGTATAACTGTCATGTGGGATTATTTTGAATATCTAATTACCTAAGTTCAATATATATACCTTGGCTGTTAACTTCCATTGCGTGACAATCTACGTTTTTTAATACGATTTTACTAAAAGTGAATCTACACAAATTTATTTAATCACATTTAAATAATCATATTTTCATGATAATTTAAAGTGTAAACATGTTTACAAAGTTTGAATTTATTGTACATATTTCTATGCTAAACTTTATTTGGATTTAATAGAGTGTTGTCTCCTTTTTGTAATGATGTAAAAGGTACTGGATATATTATACCTAACTTTTAATATTTTCAAATTAGTTTAGGTTTAGAAAAATGTACATGAGAGTCAAATCAATAGTACAATATTTTCAGCTTTTTATTATAATAAAACGTTTGTGTGTTATTAATAATGCAATGCACACATTTTTTAATTAACTTTATATATAACAAATACATAGTATTTAAAGCTTTTTACAAAACATTGTAAATAACATATAGTCTCCGATAAGTTTTTTATAAAGCGCAGTATCCACAGTTTTCGACAATAAATCGCAGTTTCTTTTTCGTAATTTATAATAACTTTGACAATAAAAACTTTTTCTGAAATAAGCCTTTGCTGTTTTTTTAACCCTTATTATTTTATAACCTATGTTGCGTGCAACATGCGTAGGATATTCTGTTTCATAAACCCTCAAAGCTTGACCTTAAATTACACGTCAACTTATTCTACCAATTTAGTAGATATTTGTAATGGCAACATCAACGTACCGCAACCCAGAACATAGCTAGAGATGCTCAGATACTAGAATTATTTTCAATAGCTGCTACTCAAAAGCTTTTTCTTTCGATCGAACATTAGAATCATTTGCAATGAAAAACAGACACCATCAGTAAAAAACTACATTTTAATTTAAATGGTTATTGACATAATTTAATTGACGAATAACGAATTAATAAATAATTAAATTAAATAATATTGGCTAGAGCATATTGATACTGTAGGGCAGCTTTATTACCATTATCACGCCTCGATGAAAAAGTGTAATGCGTTTATTATTTTCAATAATTGAAACTAATATTTGAATAAATAATTAAATAATTGAACTGCCTCTGTGGCCGAACGGCTACCATGCCGGACTGCCACGCAGAGGTCCCAGGTTCGATTCCCGGGCCGGGAGAAATATTTGTATGGCCTACATTTATTTCTTTCGTGAGTTTGGGTGTAATTTGTGGTTGTCTATGTGTGTCCATGGCACCCGTGACACAGGGTTTCCCTAGTGCGGGGCTATGTTGAGTGTGTGCGTTATTATTATTATTATTATTAATAAAAACATTTTTTTCTTTCAATTACGGTGAATGATCATGAACTTAAACAAATCTATATTTTACGATTTTGTGCACTTTCATTTTGATAGTCACAGGACGAGACTAGTAACGTTTTTTCTCAGCCATAAAAGGAGCCAGCACAGCTCTAGCGGTCACTGACTCATGCACGCTGGAGTTTCATTATTTTCAAGTTTGTTAATTAAAGTGAGCTTACACAAAGCCGTAATTTTTAAAAGCAATTTCACAATATTATAACGATGATCAGCATTTTTTTTGTAAAACTACAATAAAATTATCGGTTTACTTCAGGAGATTGCAGTGTTGAAGAGAAGAAGCCATCAATGTGGTGTTTGTTTTACTAACGTCTTTGTTTTCGATTGTAAATCGCTAACATGGCTGAAAAGGTGAGTTACATTTGCTTTTTGTAACAGCTTACAACATATACGACTTCCTCAGAAATGTCGGAGGTTAATATAAGTGGTTGTTTTTAAAAAAACATTGTTTCGAAAAAAACGAAAGAAAAAACAAAAAGTTGCAGATGTCTTGCTGTCAGACGCGCTTCCTTCACATTTCTTTGGCAGGTGAAAATGAAATTGTAAGTGTTAAAATTGTGAGTAAATAAAATTAATAGAGTGGTGTTACAAATTCTTGTGTAACTGTTAAATGTTGTTGTTTGGTTTACATAAATTTTGTGTATTTTTTGATTTTTAAGGTAAACATTTTTATAATACAATCTGTAATAATTGGTTTATTGGGGCACAACTATGAACAAAAAGTAAACTTCTAGTGCCTTCATGTGTTTATCATACATTAATGATTCTGAAAGTGACACCATTCAGCCTGATATCATGGTGACCATGCAGTTTGATGTATAGATTATCTGCCTTGGCCTACATTAACAAATATGTTAGACAATTACAATGGTATTTATTGGTCTATCTAGAAAGTTAACCCCAGTGACAAAAAGATGACAGAATACAAGCTTATGTTGTGTTTTACCTTCTCGTTTATTGTTTCTTTGTGCTGCCAAGTATTGATGTGAGCATTATTGAGTTTTGGTTTTGAAGGGTAAGCGGGAAATGACAGACACATGGTATTTGTCAACGTCATGCGTAAGGGTGACAGTGGAAGTGACAGTGCCCCTTAGGTCTTTGTGTCTTAACACTGTTAAGGGTAGGCAAACCACCACCAGGTGCACAACTTGTTTGTCTGTCAATTGAATTTAATATTTACAGAACATAATTTTGAAGATTAACTGGTTACTTGTTGGTAAATGTGAACATTTATTATGTTAATAGTTAATTTGTCACATATTTGTTTGTAGAAAATTCAAGAAAATCCTCTACCGGAGGAACAGATTGAAACAAGTATACCTCAAGACACTAACATGAAACCAGCTGATAAATCTTCCCCACCACCTACAGTGGTGACACCACCTCGGGTCCCATCATTCACCAAGACATCTCCAAATGACATGTACAGGAGACTGTTGCCGGCTGTTTTGTTTCTGCTGACATTTGTCACCGTGATGACCATGTTGCTCATTTACATGGATACTGTTGGTGAGTTATTTACCTGAATAAAAGTATTATCTTTTACGATCTTAAAAGTCCATTCAAAACTGTCATCGCTCCAGTTTCTAAGCTAGAACATTCTTAGGTTCACTTTAGAAGCAGTTTTGAGGTCGAAGAAATATCGAAATGTAACATAAAACGAGTGTAAAAATCCGCCCTCCGGGGCGTTTCCCGAGACGCCTAACAGTCGACCCGTCGCCGCGTTGCAGCCCTGGGCGCGCAGCAGTTCCGCCTGAACATGTCGCGCGACTACGAGCTGGCGCGCATCCCGCAGGAGTCGGCGCCGCTGGTGGCCTACGTGCGCCAGCTGCACCTGCAGCCGCGCGCGCCCGCGCACCCGCCGCCCTCCCCGCGCCCCACCCCGCGCGTGGCCGTGCTGGACCGGCTGCTCGGCGAGATCGTGAGTGCCGCCCCTCCCTCCGCCCCTCCCTCCGCCTGCGCTCACCGCCCGGTCCTTCGCAGTACAACGGCACGTTCGTGGAGTTCCTGCCGCAGGGCCCCCGCGACGGGTCCGCGCAGTTCCTGGAGGCGGCGCGGCGCTGGGACGGCGTGGTGGTGCGCGCCAAGGCCAAGGACTACCTGGCGCTGCGCGGCGCGGCGCGCGCGCTGCACGCCTGCCTCAGCCCCACGGACCACCCGAGGGAGGTGGGTGAAGCGTTTCCTGCATACCACTACGTAACGTGAATAAGTCCAGGAATTATTTTGTCGACTCCTGTAGGGTTAGCACGATGGGGCGCGACTAGCGCGAGATACTTCTATTCTCGCACAGAGATCTCGCGCTTTATGACGTTAGCAAGGCTTTTGATCAAGTGGCCCATGCACTACTTCTTAGCAAACTGGATTGCTTTGGTGTACATGGGAAAATTCTGAACTGGTTTGCATCTTATCTTTACAACAGGTTCCTAAAAGTGGTTGTTGGTGGTTGCGAATCAGACTCTTCTAACTTCCTCGGGGATTCCCCAGGGTTCCCACTTAGGACCTTTTCTTTTCCTTGTTTTTATTAGTGATCTCTGTAGCGTAATCAGACATTCCAAATTTATCTTTTTTACAAATAACTTAAAAATATACAGAACCATTGATGGTTTATATGACACAATTTTGCTACAAGAGAATCTTGATAGACTTTCAGTCTGGAAAATTGAGAGAAAGAAAATTTGATTTTGTGAAACCAGGGAAAAACGAGTTTGAGCGTCGTATTCCATAACTCTACTCAATACTCAAGTCAGGACTTGAGCAGACTTGAATATGATTTCAAGCACTGGAAATACAACCCTAATGGCAAGGACTTGAGTATGATTTTCAGTGCTCACTGCAATACTCAAGTCTTGACTTGAGTATTGAGTAGAGTCCTGGGATACGACCCTAAGTGTCGTATTCTAGAACTCTACTCAATGCTCAAGTCAGGATTTGAGTATTGTTCAAAACACTCAAAACCATACTAGAGTCCCTGCCATTAGGGTAGTATTTCCAGTGCTTGTGTTTCCAGTGCAATCCTAACTTGAGCATTGAGTAGAGTTCTAGAATACGACCCTAAGTGTCACAAGTCTTGAATTCACCTTTGTCAAATGAAATTCTAGTAAAGAAATTTTAAAGAAAACAGTGGCTTATCGGAAAAAATTGTCTATTCAGTAACTTGTATTGCCTCCAAGAGCGTTGACAACGGCCGCCATGCGATTTGGCACAGAATTAATTAACGTCAATATGAAGTGCCGTGGAATGTTCTCCCATTCCTCCTCAATGGCAACTTTCAATTCCAGTAAGGTTTGCGGGGCTGAGTGGTGAAGTTGAACACACCACTTTAGCTCGTCCCATAAATGTTCTATTGGGTTCATATCCAGGCTTCATGCTAGCCATTGCATGGTAGTAATACCGAGGTCCTGAAGGTATTCAAATTTGGAACAACAACACACCATAATAACGGGGGAACCTGCCAGCATTAAAACTGCATAAAATCTTTTTCTTTAATTAAACAATATTTTTATATTCTAGGTCTTTCAAAATAAAAATTCAAGGTGGCTCGAAAGTTGTGTCCGGGAGTGTATTCAATAACTGCTCAGACTAGCAATTCTGTAACTTTACAATTTATTGGCTTTAAATAAGCATATCCATTTGTTTGTATGTAACATAACACACAGTAAATGCTTCTGATACTATGTTATCCTAGTATGTGCACGCTGTATTTGCCTATTATTGGGTTTACACTCGAGTAATTCTTGACTGAAGTCAACCCGTGACCATGGAGCGGGCAATAGTTCCGAAATATCGGGAAAATAAAAAGAAGTCATACTGTGGTAAGGAGCCTGAAATTAGTGATAATCATTTAGTGAATGGCCACGAAAGCCTTAAAATCTATAATTTCTGGAGTGTTTTTTCATGTCTATGTTGAATAGTGTATTTTTGTTGGCGAATCTAATAAATAAATTAATAAACAGATTGATAAAAGTGTCAAATGTCTTGTCTATTCATTTCAATTGTCAAGAAAATATTTTTTTTTATTATCATTTCATGTAACAACAATTGACTAATTTGGCAGGCGCTTTTTTCAATCAACCTGTTATTGAATATCGTCAGAAAATTTGTGTTGAAAATGTCCCAACAGCGCGACATCTGTTACGTGAACTGTCACTCCCCGCACCACCGCGCGGCTACCTCAGAATCGACTCGGTTAAGCGGCAGGCCTGTAATTCCTTAAAACTTCTTTCTCGGTCTAGTAGCAATAATATTTCAAACACTAGGAACATACGTAAAGAGTCCCCAGTACCATGGACCGATAATTCAAGGCAGCTGCTAATCTCCATACTACAGACTGTAGCTCTGTAAAAGGTCAAAATTTCGTGTTATGTCTAGGTGGTGCTAATCAATAGCCTGGAAGTAATGTACTCCCGGACTCATTATTCGAGTCACCTTGCATTTTCAACATTAAATGCTTAGTTTAAACAATGCGTGATCGCTCAAAAATGCTATTATGCAACTTTGAAACTGGTATACTAAACGTCATTTTCATGAAAATTTTAATTAAAAAATCTCGAGAAAACTTTTTCTTTGATGATAACTATATTTTTATTTTGTAGCTCTTTAGGGATAAAAGCAAGGTGGCCCGAATTATGTGTCCGGGAGTGTATAAACAAACATATTATATAGATGGCCCTGGATGTCAATTAATTCCTCTTTAATATAAAAAAAGAGGTAATTTTTTTCTTATACTGTACGTTGACAAATATGCGTGTCAACAGATGGCATCGCGTGTTACAAACTAATTTATAAATTGACGCTTCCTCATACGGGTAGCCGGCGCTAATCCCGAACAAAATGAAACACCCGTAAATACGGCGCAACAAGCGCCATCTAGAGGATTTGTCCGGTACGAGTGGCCCCCAGGTGACGTACCACGAGTCGGACAGCCGCGAGTCGGCCTTCAGCTCGCGCGTGCTGTGCCTGCCGCTGTTCACGGTGCTGCTCGCCGCCGACGCCACGCGCGCGCACTACGTGCTGCTGGGCGGCGACAACGTCGTGCCCGCGCTGCAGCACGTGCCCTTCCAGAAGGTGCACTTGCAGGTAACCTGGCTCCACGCTCGCCGTCTATTGTTCCTGTCGCCCGGATTGCCCGCCTCGACAACGAGAGCTTATGTTGCAAATGCCAAAATTTCCATTTCCCATGAAACCGATTGGGCTGCGTTTAAATCAGCTAAATACAGTGTTGTGTCTTGAGGGCCTCAAAACTGTTGGCCCTGGATGTTCCGGGTGAGGCCACCGAGCGAATATGTCGTTGTAAACCACGGAAGAAAAAACAATGGGCCTGCCATAAGCCTCGATTACTATCGGAACCGCTGGCGCGAAAACGCACGCAAACAAACGATAACCTCTAAGAAATCTTGATAATGAATGGTCATAGTTTCTAATTTAAAAAGATATAACAAGTTCTGAATTGTTAATATAATTTGAACTTTACCCAGTCGCTATATCGTTGAAAGTCTATACCTTTAGTAAGTAGGTTAATTTGTCGTTAAAATCAAAACGTTATATTGAAGTTTTATTCATCGTGCTGCCATCTTGCGGCCAGTACCTTTATTTTCGATCAATTACGTTTAAAATTAACAAAACACTCATAAAGCAATTTTCCGCAAAACTTTTGTTCTGTACTATTCTAGTTCGCTGAAATTCGAGATGTTTACTTAGTTTTCCAAAAGCTAAAACTCGACCATATTGCTCTGACATAATGTCTACTTTCGTTTGTTACAGTACCAAAAATCAATTCGGTAAATAGAAAATTTATTAAAATAAAAGAGAGAGTTACAGATGATATGAAATCCTACTACGGGCAATATTTTTGGTGCGGCCATCATTTTTGCATTCCAAAACAGCACGTTAAGGCATTTTTCTACGATTTTATCGAATTTGCGCGAAATCATGATATAACCTGAAGTAGGTCTAACTAAACTTACTGTTGGTACGCGTCTGACTAACTAACCATTTCTCCTGTATTTATTGTACTGTGTTACAAGCAGTTGGAGACGAGGCAAATACTCTGATTGTATTTACACATTAATTTCCCTTGTAGGTTATAGAGTACTTCTTCAAAGACATAGCGTCAGTGAACGCGACGACGACTTTACTCGCGGCGCGCAACTACTCGGTCGCGGCCGTCTTCCCCGACAGCATCATGTACTCGCTCAAGCCGTGAGGGCCTCGCCTGGCTGTTGCTTCTTCGACACCTTTTCTTATTTACAACATCAACTAAGTGTAATTTAACTGCCTGGCTAGGGACAAATCTAGAGGAAAAAACGCGGCTGAATTACGCGCCCGCAGGAGCTAAGTCAGTTCAATAAAAACGTGTCATTCGCCTGCGTCTTTACCTACAGATTTGTGACTAGTTTCAACAGGTCCCTCCTGTTTGTTGGAAGCGAGTGAGAAAATGTTCTCGACCAATCGTTTTCTCGTAATCTGCGGGGCATGGGAGAATATTGCATGGGATTTGTCAGCCCTTTGCTACAATTGCAGATCGATGATTGGTGGAGAACGTCCCCTTCCCGCTTCCCGTACATCGGGGTTTTTACCTACTTTGATTTCGCTATAGTAAATAGTAACTTGAGTACTCCGTATATTTTTGAAAATAGCAACATTTTTAAATCCCGAACCTTTGGTAAAGGCTGATAATTTAATTGACGATTTCTTTTGAAACTAATTTCACAGAGTGACACCACTAACATTGACGTCAAACGTTAATAGAGTGCCACCATTTCAGAGTTAACAAGTAATTTCTCAGTCTTTACAAAGATTGGCTCTTAATTGGATAAAAAGTAGTTTTGTTTTACATCAAAATTTATCTTTTTTGTGAGTGAGATTAAAAGTAAATAACAATTATTTGTTGGAGTAATGACTAGCGCTGTATTCTTTGTTGGTGAAGCGTTGACTCGATAGCTTTTACAAAATGAACTGAAAAAAAACATGAACAAAACAATAAGAATCTCTGATATAAACAGAAAAATCAAATTTTACCATCAATTATTGTATAATTTTCAATTTATTTGCTAATTTTTTTTGTTTACACGTTCAATTAATTGATAAGAAAATGACAAAAGGATGTATGTATCAGTTAATTGTTAGGTGAAATAATGTTTTACGTTAATGTGATTTAATTGTAAGTCGTCTCATTAATTGTAATATTAATTGAATTATTAATTTATTTGCCTCTTTAAATGTGCCTTAATATTTGGTGTGCTATTCACAAAACTTTCACTTTGCCTGATCAAAATCATATTATTTTTGAAAAGATCCATGATTGAAAAAAAAATTGTGTGCACAAAGCATACACATAAGTACTATATGATGACAAAACATAGAATAATCTTCCAAATGTAAATTACAGTATGTTTATTATATACTCATTGTGCCTTATGTGAATGATAAAAAAACGTTGTTACTTCAGTTTTGTTCAATAGCCACTCGAATAGTTCGTATTCCATTTCTGCTAAAGCAAGTGCTCATTTTAGTGCCCACGACGTTTTAGATTAAGGCAGCACTTTCCAATTTAATGGGACGTAAAGAGATGTTTATACAGGGTGTCCCAAAACTGCATAGTGTACTGTACATAAAAATTATTCAAGGGAAACCAAATTAAAAAAATGTTTCTAACAAAAATCTGTTTAGAGCACGGGTATTGCTAATTATAGAATCGATCGATGAAGTCGTTTATGTTCAATTTAAATCAATCAATCGCAAGTGCATCGTGTTAGTGTGTCGCGATTGTATCGCCGCTTAAGTCGTGCGTGTGTAAAGAGCTAGACTGTTAGCTACTGCATCGCTACAGACACACTGCTAAAAGATGCTCTAAGGTGAATGGCAAAATTGAGTTCTGGCAATTTTTGTTGCCATGAATAGTTCACGCTACCTCATTGGCAGCACTGTTTAGTGATCAGTATTCACAATTGAACTGACCACCGGAAATTCCGAAATTTGAATTTACGTTTACAGGAAGAACGATATAAGTACAAATGTTGATATTTTTGTATGAATTGTATTTGTGGACACCCTGTGGTTTTCTACGGTTGAGACAATAAGGTTTGTGTATAAGGTTGTTATATTTATAAATGTAGGTAGCTAGACAATTCGCAGTATTCAACTATGTTATCGTATTGGAGTCAGACCAACGTTCAGGTTATTCGATTCAAAATATGGATTTGTTTTAGAATACTGAAATACGAAAAAATACAGATGATTTGTACGAGAACGTGTCACAGCATTACCATATCAATGTAACCTTAGTTGATACCAAACGTAGTCTTGACTTCAATTTAAGATGGTAGGTCACTGTCCTGCTTTCATTCACAAGCGCTAAGCACTTTTATACAAATTGTACTATTTCCAACAAAAAAATTAATGTGCTTATAAGCAATCTTGGATGATTATAAAAAAAGAAATAACTTTTATTTTGTTTTGTCAGTGTCCCATCCCTATAGAGATACGTGGTATACCACAATTTAAATTTGATGCCAAGGGATTAATATTATGATAATAATTGTAACTTTTTATCCAAACAAAAACCGACCTCGAAAGATGTGGAATAGATGTAATTTGCCAAGTTGCATTGAAATCGGTTACCGGAAAGTGCGCAAAATCGATTCATCCTCTAGTTTGCCACCCTTAGAGGTGGGAATATTTTTTTCAAATTTACATGGACCATTACTGAGGTGGCCTTTCCAACAAAAACGTAACACTCTCTCCTTTTTTTGAAGTCGGTTAAAAATGTTTCAGCTTCTTACAACCGAAAAATAATTTATTGATCTTGTCTTAATTTTTTTTTATATTGGCGCAAATGAATCTCTTAACGGCTAAAAATTATAACAGATTGGATGCAAATGTGCAATAAACTTATGTACGAAGTCAGGATCGTGATATAGCAACTTACGAAACATAATATTGTGGCTTATTATTTTAGATAGACAGCAAAGAACACGAATAATGTTAAAAATTTACACTTTTCGAACACATTTTTAATATAAAATTCTCTAGATGTTAGTATTCACTGCCATTTTAATTACATTTAATTTTAATTATTTATTGATTATTCAATTTTAACTATTATTATTTCCAGAATTCCTCGAACGAATTACGTATCTGTTGATGTGATTTATCGATGTGATTATTCTTCAGTATTTTTAATTTGATCTTAATTTTAAATGTTCCAGTGTAATAATTCTATATTTTTTTAAGTGTAATTTTGTGTGTTGTATTAAGGAGAATTATTTTTTAAATGTTAATTTTAGCGCGCGCAAATTATTTTTTTAATCCACCATTCCGTTTTGTAGAATTCCATCTTTAATTTTACCAAGACTGAATATCGCGTATTTTTTAACATAAAATATCGATCAAAAAGTTTTTATTTTTCGTATCAATTTATTCTCATTATTTCATGATTAATTTGATGATTGATTTTAATGAATTTGATTTCATGCATTAAGTGAATAGTGACAATTTTTTTAAGAATTAATTGAAGTTTAGTTTAGCTGTAACTATAAGATTTTTTGTGTTAGGCTTAGTTTTTACATGCGCTCAATTTTTCACAAATAAAACGCTTTAAATTAAGTATTTATCATGTTTTATTCAGTTACCCATTTTACCCAAAGAACGCTCAATTCGGAATTTCTTCCGACGTCACCATAAACAGGTTCTTAAAATTCAACTAGACAGGTTGGAAGTCGTGAATTAGTTGATTCTTGTCGCAAAATTCCAGAAATGAGTTCTTTTTGTCGGGAAAGGATATCGGGGATAGAGCAAATTCGTAGTAAAAATGTACTGGCTAAGTAAAGCCTCTATTTCCCTTTGTTGTTTGTGAAATCGCCCAAGGGTACGACATTGCAAAAACTCTCGGAAAAAAGTATCAATTCATTCGTCCACTATGTTAGTAAACAATGCGATCAAAACACGCTGTCTATAAATAACATTCAATGCAAAAAAGTCAAATGCTGCCGTAGTATGAATAATAGTAAAATTGAACAAAACATGCGCCATTTGAGAAACACGTGTATTGACTATATTCAACTCAAACGCCACTCAAAGCGTGAAATATACTATTGAATTGATATATAACAATTTACAATTGTTGAACGGACGCTCAATTTCGCGTCCCAGGCGTTGCGAGAATTCCGAGAACTGCGCCTTGACGCTGTAATTGATGTTTAGTCTAGATCTTCTACATGACAAAGGTCTTGAATATTGTTTTTATTTCACAAGATAATATAATAACGCTTAGACGCCACCCTTCGCACTACTTCCCGCAGATGTGCCAAACGCCACTGACGGTAGCTACGGGAATTCCCGAGAACGCGCGAAAATTCTCCAGAACCTCTCTCGCTTCAATTGAGCCTAATTTCTTTTTGCGACTAGAACAAACTAATTACTTTTTAACTGTGTACTACACCTTTAAAGAATTAGATTATGGTAAGATGCTGAAATAAGAATAATCTATGTCAATGGTCCGACAGTCGTCCGAGTTTCGATACTATCGACAGCACTCCTGTGCTGTAGTGTCAACACACTAAACTAAATGTGCTATGGTGGATTTGTAAATGAAACCACAAACCAGGTAATCATTAAGTATATTAAATCATCCCATCGACGAACTCTCTCCGTTAAATACTTAGCGCTATCGTAACATTACTATAAAATCAATTAACAATGGAAAGAACCGTTTCAAATTGATTAAAACAACTTCTTCAATTTACTGCTGGCTTAAATAAACTCACAAAATAATATTTTATTGTCACGCCATTAAAAGTTGAAAATTGTCTTGTAGTTGGTACAATATAATAACCTCCTCCTCCAGAAATATCTCTCCTCGTGGCTACAGAACGGGCATGATGACGTTACGCCAGATTTTTCGGGCACCTACGAAAAGTCACATACCTTTAAATAAAACGCGATCATGTCGTGACACGACGGTTTTCACTGCATTAAAAAATCTTCTACTTCGAAACAGAATTTTTTATACTTTCGCATTATTGGGCACAGGTAGGTCTCCTCTAAGGAAAGGCTTAGGTCGCTGAACTAATGCTGGTTGGGAACTTCACGCGATTTGCGAACCTTTCTGAACGTTTGAAAATGTTACCTTTTTTATGATATCAATCACAAACAATTGAGGGGAACTGCCACTGCACCCGTCACCCTGAGCCCACAAGTTGTCAAGTCCCATGTGCCTGTAATTTCATCAACACCCTTACATCAAAACCGGAATGCAATAATGCTGACATTACTGCTTGGCGGCAAGAATAGGTGAGGTGCCGGTACTTCCCAGGACGAATTCTGTCACAAGGAGTGATACTGTTACTAAAAACTAAAAGATATATCAACTTTTATTGGAAGAACAACATAAAAATTTCCTATAAATTAATAATTGTGCGAATAAATTGATCATGACACATAATTAACATTGAAATATACATTTTTAAGTTAAACTAATAATAATAAAATCATTTCGTTTTAACCTACAAATAAATTTATTGCTTTGAAAATCTCAAATTTAAATAAATGGAAGAGCTTCAACTAAAAATATTATTTACATACATTCATACAAAAGTCACAAAATACCAATTTTTATGTGAACATATTCTCGTAACATTTTTATAATTGCAAAATAGTCTTAAATGTCGCTGTCATTGTGTAAAAAGGTTTGCTCTTCTTTTAATCAAAAAAATTAAGAAACTTGGTTGTAATTTTCAATTAATTGCCAAGCGAAATTTAAAAATGTTTCACAACTTTAAAACTGTACTTTTTAATTCATAATTTAAAACAATCTATGCACCAAATAATAATAGCACAATTAATAAATTATTTACATTGAGAAAAAGGTGTATGTTCCGAACGTTGAAGAAAATAATTTGATAAGACTTTCACGTCTTTGGTCCCAAAATTATGATTTAGCCAGCTTCCTCATTGTAAATATTTTATTCAGTAACATTGCTAAATAAATACTAAACTATGAATCATTTCACTGTAATCAAATGATTAAATTTAATTCTTTGAAAAGCTGCCAAAACACAACTATTTCTACCGAACAACGGAATGCCATAAATGCAGAAAGTGCAAGTGGAAAGTTGAACAATTTCTTTAAAAGTCTGTTAAAATTAGTGTTTAATAAAAAATAAACTATACACAAAAATTAAATTACAATAAGTACAACTCGGGAAAAAGGATAATTATAATAAAGTTCTAAGGTATAACGGTTCTATGTCCAACCACATCTTTACAACATCCCATGCTTCATTATTGTAGTAACACTTATCCAAAACTAGTTTTTTGACACTACTACATCAAATTACGGTTGGTCACACCAATGCTAGAATAGTTAGGTACTAAAATTTTATTAGCTTGTTTTACTTTTTTCCTTTTTTATGTAAAAAAAATGAAAGAGTACACTAATATTAATAGAATGAATAACATTTCAAGAGAAATTGTTAGTATTACGAAAATTAGCACCTCAAAAGCTCATTCACCGGTTAAACACGAGTAGTATCCTTTTATTGTCTCTTTTATTAATTTGAGTGGTATTTCCTTAGTCTGTTGTGTCATTCCTTATTTTTTTTTCAAAATTTGAAATTAAATAAACTTTTCTTCACATTATTTTACCTATCCGATTTCTTCAAAATTTTTTAATTAACGATACCCGGTTTATAAGCATTGGTGCAACCCGACCTAGAATTAATATTTAATAATTATTTAATTTTACAGAAGCAGGTATAAAAATATTCTATAGTAACATCAAAATTCAACAACTAGTTGAAACTCTACAACCTGTTTTAAAGGTACTTTTGGTAATTTTGATAACTTAGTTTTTATGGACTACGACACTCTATTTTGAGCCGTGTACGATAGTTACAGCGAATATATGTATGAAGATGTCTGGAAAACGTTTACGTACGTTTTTTGGTGTGTGCTCTTAAAGAACACGAGATTATTATTATTTTCCTTTATAGCGACTACTCGGCTTGTGCCAGTGTCAGTTTTATAAGAATAATAAAAATTATGGCCACGATCACCAGTTTCAGATTGCATGGTAAGTAGACACATCTCCAGTCTTTAATACAATTTGGAACAAGTACATTTATATAGCCGTTCCCGTCAGTTACCTCTAGGGTAACTAACGTATGATTTTTTCCTAAAGCTGTACTGCTAAAAGTAAAAACAAACTCCTTGATGATTGTAGTCCAAAATTCGATATATACTGACCGATTATACGTTCTTAGGGCAGTAATAGTATACTATAATGATCAATTTCTATTCAATAATTTGTAGCACTAATTTACTTAAAATTTCCGACGAAAATGCACTTGACAAGTTTATAGAGAATGTTGAACGTCTGACAGATGAAAAAAGTTAATACCAAAGCGTAGTTTCTTTTAGATCTGAGAATCTTGGCGCTTGTGTTGCCAGAATTTAGATCTATAAAATCGGGATTTTATAGATCTAAATTCGGGAAATTGGAGCCTAAACGTAACTTGCCAAGGGTTATCAGAAGAATTAATTGGTAATAAATATGGCATATTTATTTAGTATAATGTGTCAGATTGTTTATTACAAAACCATCTCATATCTCTCTGGCCATATTTGCAAACAGTTAGTTTTTCATATTGCAAATGGGTTGCAACATCATAGCGTTTATTATAATTATTAATAAAAAGATCGAATATTTCGAAAAAATTTCTTCGATCCGGCCGGATTCGAACCGACGTCTTCTAGCAAGCCGTGCCGACGCTATGTCAACTAAGCGACGGAACGAAACCAGCGGACCTCACGAATTTTTCTATGTGCTTGTTTGTCGGATATTTGTATTTGGTTTTCAACGACTTTTAGCCGTAGCGCCATCTATAAAAGTATTTCATAATAGTATTTAGTCTCACGAGTGGCCATACTACTTGTTAGATAAGACTTATATTGACCAAGCTACTTCCTTTACTTTTACAAAATAACTCTTACTAAAAGTTACGCGTTGTTTAGTTACATGTGTGGCAATATTAGCAAGCAAAATGTGAAAACAAGATTTTTTACGCGTTCCTGTGACATTTTAGACACTAAAAGGTAAACAAAAAGTTTAAAATTCAGCTAAAAACCTCTTAAAGAACGGCTATAACTAATACGGATTTTCACGAATACGTAACCGTCAATTACAAAAGTAATTTGTAGGAATGTAAGGTACATACACACACAGCGAGCACTCTTCTTGTCGGGAACAAGATTTAACCCAGTTTTTCTTTATATTTAGTTTAATAACGACAGTCTGCCTTTTAAACATCCTTAACATGGTTTAATCGTTGTTTTCAATTACCCAAGTGGAAGCTACTTCTAGGCCAATATTAATTAACAACTTTTATGTCCGGTATGCATTTCTATTAACGTATCAACAGTTTGGATTAACATCTCAAGTGACCAAGAACCCT